CTCTTCCGTGTGCCCGGGCACACGTGGGCGGACACGCGGGCACGTCGGCAGACCCAGGCACGTGGGCAGACACGCGATCATGCAGAGACCTGGGCAGACCCAGGCCCCTGAAGAAAACCCACAGGCTGCCCTAAGGACCCGGCCGCCTCGCTCCCTGGGGAATGGGCCACCCCCTGCCGGCCTCCCTCCAGAAAGGCCTCGTGCTTCCAGCCACATGTGGCTGTGGAGTTTAAATCAGGTAAAATTTTGTAACATTCAAATTCAGGTCTCTGGTCCCTATGCCACATTTCTAATGCTAGTAGCCATGTGAGGCCAGGGCTACCACCCATAGTGGGCAGTGCACACAGACCATTTCATTCATTGTCAGTTGCGTCGGACGGGGCAGCTCTGGGGCGTCCATCAGGCCCGGGACAGCCGCATGGAAAGCATTCTCTTTCTGAATAGTTCCTCATCCCCCGGCCTCAGGCCAGCCATGCTCCCCACACCCAAGGACTGGGTGTGAAGACTCAAGCTGCCGCCCATCCAAGACAAGGAAGTCCCTCTCCACGTCTAACCACAGTGCTTCCTGCTGTATGTCCTTCCTTAGAGAAAAGACCCTGGCCCGGCCCAGAGTGTAGCTGCCTGGCTTCTGAGTCTCCAAGGTGACCCGGACCTCAAGCAGGCAGGGAGCATCTGGCTGCCCGTGAGACCCGATCTCCCCGTCTCTAACAGCTGCCGTGGACAGATGGCATGGTCTGGGAGTCCCGCTTGAATGCCTCCTCGACACTTCAGCATAATCAGAAAACCCGTCTCTGGTCCTCGTGCCCAGACACCCCTCCCCATCCTGAATTTCAGCTTCTGACCAAGGCAGCTTGTGACCTTGGTCCTCAACGAACCCAGCGGCGTGATGGTCCCCAAGTGGCCGTCAGGCCAACTTTGAGGAGCAGAACTTGACCTCCAGCTCCCGGGGGGTCCCCAGGTATGTGGGCTGCCCCAAGAACCCTTGCGAGGTCAAGTTCCAGTAGCAGACGATAGCCACACATGTTCGTGGCAAGGTGCCGAGAACAGCACCCCTGAGGGTGAGAACCGGTGTGAAGGAGACCCAGCCCAGCCCACCATCAGAGCAGGGGACCCTCCCCACGCTCTAAGCCCTGCCAGAGAGACCTCGATCTGATGGGCGAGAGCGAGAAAATATGTCAGATGGGGAAAAGGCGAGAACATGTTCACCAAAAACCAGCAGAGGAAAAGAATGCAGTTACCCGTGAAGATAGGCAAGAAACCCGCAGGGCCACCAACCAGCTGCCCAGTGGAGGGGCGAGCAGGGCGGCCAGCAAGATGCCGCAGCCCTGCCTGGGGCCCTCGTGGAGCAAGGGACAGGAACAGCCGTGCGGGCACCCGCAGCCACACTGCCCAGCCCCAAGCACCACACGCAAAGACGTGAGCAGCTCCTGAGGACTGTCCAGGATGAGGAAGTCCCCCACCACGTCTAACCACAGTGCCACCTACTGTGGCCTGTGCACTGGAGGTGCTGTCCGTCCACTGAGGGCCGAGGGCACGGGGCGCCTCGGGACAGAGCACGGCAGTGGCTGCGGCCCTTCCCTGGGGCAGCAATGACCCTGCCAGGGGGTGTCCACACAGTGGCCCCGCTGGCCAGGGAAGGAAGCAGGTCACACACTCACATACACACATGCACACACTCACACATAACACATGCACACTCCCTTACACATACATGCACTCACGTGGACAAATACATACACTTACATTCTCACACAATACACACTCACACCCACACACTCACTCATAAACTCACGCACACACTTTCTCACAGTCACACTCACACCTCAGAGGCTGGAGCACTGCTAAGCTAGTCTGCCGGGTGCCAGGAGCAAGAATCTGCAGAGGAAAAGGAGGATGGCCCCTGCGACCACAGTCTGTGTGTGTTATGAAAACACGTCACCCTCAGTGGGAATTCTTTGTAGCATCATCATCACCATCAGCATCACCATCGTCATCATCACCATCAGCATCGCCGCTCACACTAGCTAAGTGCCACTGTGTCACATGCCAGGCACAGAGCTGAGTCCTTCCCGCGACTGACCCTCCCAAACAACAAAAGGCCATGACAGCCATCCCCTCTGTAGAGGCAGGAGTTCAGAGCTCAGGGCCGTCAGCCCGGGATCACACAATTAGGGACGGGAGGTCAGGATCCTGATGGTTGTTCTGATAAAGTCCAGTGCGTCTACTTTTCCTTTTGCTGCTCATGCTTTTGGTGTCACACCCAAGATCTGCTGCCCGATCCAAGGTCGTGAAGATTCACCCCTATGGGTTTTCTTTTAGGAATTGTACGGCTTTAGCTCTTGCATTTAGGTCTTTGATTCATTTCGAGTTACTGTTTGTGTTAATTCTGTGAGGTGGGATCCAACTCCATTCCTGTGAGTGTGGCAGTCCTATTGTCCCAGCACCATTTGTTGAAAAAGACGGTCCTGTCTCATTGAATGGACATGGCCACCTGTCAAAAATCCAGCAGCCACAGATGTGAGGGCCTGTTTCTGGCCTCTCTATTCTGTTCCATCGGTCTCCATGTCTGTCCTTAGGCTAGAACCATGCTGTTTTGATTATTGTAGCTTTGTGAGATGTTTTGAAATCAGCAAGTGACCCTTCCAACCTGGTTGTTCTTTTTCAAGATTGTTTTGTCTATTTGGGGTCCCTATGAATTTTAGGGTCAGCTTGCGGCTGACGGTTCTGAGTACCCACTGCAGTCCGGGCATTGCTGTGAGCACACTGCTTGCAGCCTTTCACTCAGTGGCCCGATGAGGTGCGTGTTACTATAATTCCCACCAAACAGAACAGGAACCTGAGACCAGGAATTAAATGATTTGCCCCGGTCACTGAGCAGGGCCAGGATCTGAACCCCTCCTACCCCGCCAGGTGTGTCAGGATGGAGCTCTACACTTAGGGAAATGACGAGAGATGGGGTGACCAGGAGGTACCCCCCAAACTGAGGAAGACAGCCTCAGGCCGACGGACAGAGCGCAAGGAGGGAAGTGTTAGGGAGGTGGTTGGAGCCGGCTGGCCAGGGGAACTGGCCTCTGTGGTCACCTGGTGACCCGGCGTCCTCCAGACCCCCAGGGAGCCTGCAGCCTCATGCAAAGGCCTTCTGCTGGGCTCAGTGGCCCAGGCACCACAGACTTGGAGAACGCTCCCCTGCTGGCTGTCCTGTGTGTTCAGTGATGCGTGACGGTGACGAGGTGGAGCTCTCCCAGCCCCTGTCCTGCTGCCTGTAAATCAGGCTGCAGAAGTAAGTCACGGATGCCGGGGCAGGTCAGGAAAAAGCCCAGAAGTGACAAATAAGAGGTGCAAGGGACATGAGAGGAGTGAGCAAAACTTTAGCCGTCTCTAAAAAAGAAATAGATAAAAAAGGAAAGTGGGGACAAGCCAGGAGAAAGAGAAAAGGCAGATTATGCTGAAAATATGCCAGTGCCCACTGTAGCGGGTTCAATGGTGACACCCCCCCCAAAAGATGTGCCGCATCCTAACCCCCAGGTTAGGGGGTTTGAATCTTCAAATGTGACCTTATTTGAAAAAAACGTGTTTTCAGATGCCATTAAGGATCTTGAGATGAGGTCATCCTGGATTAGGGTGACCTCTAGATCCAGTGACAGGCGTCTGTGTGACAGAAGAGAGGAGAAAGGCCAGCTGAGGATGTAGGGAGAGATGGGAGTCATGTGGCCACAGCTAGGAACTGTCCGGAGCCACCAGGAGCTGCAAGAGGCAGGGAGGAGCTTCCCCTAGCACCTCTGGAGGGAGCACAGCCCTGCCCCCATCTTGATCTTGAACTTCTGGCCTCTAGAGCCAGAAGTGAGAGGATACATTTCTGTTGTTTTAAGGCACCTACTTTGTGGTCATTTGTTATAGCGGCCCCAGGAAATGAATACACCCACCGTCCAGGCTGAGCTCAACTCCTGACTAACCCATCCTGCTAGGCCATCAGTCACACACTCTCCCCCCGCCAGGCACTGCACTAACCCTTCTTGCAGCCCCACCATGACCCCATTTCACAGATGAGGAAAAGCGAGGCTTAGGGCAAGACGGCTGTCCCAAGATCACTCACAGAGGGCATGGTGGGTAAGGTTTGAATCTGCGCATCTCAGCCTTACAGTGGCCCCGCTTATACCCCCTACCCCACACCACACAA